TACAGATTATCGACAATAAATCAAGGTTAGACAAAAGGTTTTTGACATAGAAGCCAAGTTAGATATAGATTTTGAGGCGTCAAACAGGTTTTGGCGACGACCTCCAGGCCCCATTACCAAATTGGACCAAATTGCTTGACGGATGCAAATCTGCCGTAAAAATTGCCAAAGTTTGGAGTCAGATTGTTGGAGGTATTTTCCCAAGGTATATCAGCCTAAGGTTTATATATATATATATATATTATATATATATTATATATATATATATATATATATATATATATATATATATATATATATATATATATATATATTTGTGTGTGTGTGTGTGCAATATGCAATAAGATCACAGTAAACAGGTGAAATCATAATGTTCAGAACAGCCTCTGTGAGAAAATAGAATTCCAAATGCTTTCGTGATTTTTCACTTCAAGGAATTGTAAAAATAATTGTAAAAATAAGGACGAGACTACATCTCACGTTACCTTACAACTGCGAGAGGTAGTCTTGTTCCCGTATGCTTTCCTCTTTATCTGATAATGTAAGAAATCACGAAAGTGCTTGGAATTCTACTATATTCTCACAGTGGTCGCTCTGCAGTATATATAATGTATATATATATATTATATATATATATATATATATATATATATATATATATATATATATATATATATATATATATATAATGTCGTGCCGAATATGTAAAACTGGTCAATTAGCAAGAACTCATTTAAAATTTAGTTCTTTCTAAAATTTTCTCTTATACGTTTAAAGATATATTTTTTTCATTAATATTGACGTAAAAATTTATAATTTTGCACCAAAAAGAACTTAGAAAACTTACCTAACCTTATTATAACAAGCGCAATTTATTTTAGCCTAACCCAACAAATTATATTTTAGATTTGTTTACAATAATTTAATACTAAACAAACACAGTGAAATATATTTTTTTCGTTAGGTTCAGAATGATTTTGGCGAAATTATTGCATACACAAATTTTCATTGTCCTATATGGCAAGATGAGCGTTGCTATTTAAGCCAAGATCGCAAGTTCTGCCTATTCGACACGACATATATATATATATTATATATATATATATATATATATATTATATATATATATATATATATATATATATATGTCGTCCGAATATGTAAAAACTGGTCAATTAGCAAGAACTCATTTAAATTAAGTCCTTTCTAAAAATTTCTCTTATACGTTTAAAGATATATTTTTTTCATAAATGTTAATGTAATAAAATTTTATTTTGCACCAAAAGAATCTTAGAAAACTTACCTAACCTTATAATAACAAGAGCAATTTATTTTAGCCTAACGCAACTAAATATATTTTTGATTTGTTTACAGTAATTTAATACTAAACAAACACAGTGAAATATATTTTTTTCGTTAGGTTCAGAATGATTTTGGCAAAATTATTGCATGCACAAATTTTCACTTGTCCTATATGGCAAGATGAACGTTGCTATTTAAGCCAAGATCGCAAATTCTGCCTATTCGGCACGACATATATATATATATATATATATATATATATATATATATATATATATATATATATATATATATATATATATATATATATATATATATATATATATGTAGTTTGTGTGTTTGGAGAGAGTGAGTTATATCAGCCGCACAAATGGTAAGTACACTACACAGTCAGCCCACAGTCACTCACTGATATGCAAATTCGCATAAACAAACAAACCACACAAACAAATCACTAACTTTAATCTTACGAAAAAACAAATGGAGCATTATCTCACTCTTCCTGTCCTACACTCTCTCTCTCCTTTTCCCGTTCATCTCCATTTTTCCCTCCAATTCCCTCTTACTCTTTCTATCCCTCTCCTATTTCCACTGTCTCGTTCCACCAACCTCCTTCCTCTCTCTTTTTCCTTATTCTTTCCCACTTTCCCTCTACTATTCCTCACTCCCTCACGAGTACCACTCCTCATCGTCTCTCCTATTTCCCATTTTTTATTAATCTCTTCTTTCCTAGTCACCATTCTTTCCTTCTACTTCTCGCCCACCTCAGCACTCATACCCTATCTGCCCCCCTTTCTCCCCTCACCCGCCCACCCTAGCCCCCACCCACCTTCAGGTATGGCACAAAACCAGTTACCTATTTCGCTCTGCGGAAAAGGCTCGTATACTCATCTGTGTACTCCATTTACATATATATATATATATTATATATACAGACATACACTTGCAGTCACACACACACACACACACACACACACACTTGCAGTCACACACACACACAAAGCGCGCGCGAGCACACACACAGATGGGCGACGGAGAAAGAAGACTTTCCGGACACTAAAATAACACGAGAAGAGGATGCACAGCAGGTGGCAATTTTTTACATAATCTGTGTAAAATGCATCCAAAGTGACAGATGGGACACAATCACGTGACTGACGTCACTGTTAGGGAATACGGTGGGATACTGTCGTGTACCTGAATACGGATAGAACAGTAGAGGAGAGGAAGCAGCTGACGGAGAGAATGAAACACTGAGAAGCGCAGGAGGGAGAAGCAAGCGAGCAATAACAGGAAGAGACACCTCAACTTCTGTGGTTGCAATGTTGCTCTTGTTATTGTAGTCACCAACATATCCAACCCAAATCCCGACCCTCTTTTTCCACTCATGCACAATAGCTCAGGGTCAGTTACATTCTGCCTCCCTCACCCCACACCCTCAATCCTGACCTCTTCTAGTGCAACAACCTTCCCCACAACCACTCATCAACCAACCCCCCAGCCCCTACCTTCCTCCACTACCCATCCTATTCCCAGTGGTCATGGGTCACGTAACCAGAACATGATATGAGTAAGGAAACTGAAAAATAAGTTACACAAAGAAGGAATAAAAAAAATTAAGACTGAATAGCAGAGGCATCAGCAGCCATTATAACACAGAGACAAAGCTCGTGGAGATAAGAGGTAAATATCTCAGTAAGATATACTCTGAGAATGGGTAAAGGGAGCAAGGGAAGGGGAAGCAACACTGTTAATCATAAACCAATGGAGTCTCCAGGAAATATGATTAATAAAGCTAGGGGAGTCAAATAACTCTGCCGTAAACACCCTGAAAACTGTGGCACCCCAGTGGTAATAACAGAGATGTACAATCCTCCACTCATAACAGCAGACCAAGACAGAAGTATGATGACAACAAAGCAGTGGTAAACACTGCCTGGAAGTAGCAAAGACAGCCAATGCAAAGCTAGTGATGGGCGACTTAACTGACAAGGAAAAAAACAGGAGAACTGGGATCCACATGGGAGACGGGAAACGTGTCGGGTTAAGATGATGGAGGAGGTGATGGAGTACGTCATGTATCAAAATGTCTGGGATAAAGTTAGAGAGAAATGATGAAGTGAACCAGCAAGGCTGAACCTAGTATTCATTCCAAGCAAATTTGACATAGATGAAATGGGAGGAGGGGCCCGGGTGCCCACGTTTTGATGACTTGGTGGAGATAAGTATGTAGAAGAGAATGGCAGGGAAGGGAAACCAGACGTCTGCTTCTTGTTCGTCTTCTACTTCCTCTCAATTTATCCTCCACCTCCATCCCATCCACCATCTCGTACTCTTTATACTCCGCCTCAAGTACTCCTCTTACTCATTCTTCTGGTATTCCTATTCCTCTAGTTACTCCTATTTTTTTCATTCACCAATTATCCCTATTCACCTCACTCGTTATCTCCTCTTCCTCTTTCTATTCTCTTCTCCTACCCTCGTCTCCCTCCTCCTCCTCACTTCACCTGCCTCCTCTCTCTCTCTTCTTCACCTCTCTCTTCATAGCAGTGACACACAGACATCAGCGAACATAACTCCTATTTCCACTAGGGACACACAGGTGGAGAAAGCGAACATGAGATCTATAGTTGTTGCATGAGGAGAGAAACGAGAAGAGATGAGGAGAAAGAGAGGAGAGAGGAGATGAGTGAGATGAGTGAGAGTAGAGAGTGAGAGTGAGAGAGAGAGAGTGAGAGAGTGAGAGAGTGAGAGAGTAGAGAGATGAGAAGAGATGAGAGAGAGAGAGAGAGCTCTTTCACCCCTTACTACTCATGTGACCAAACCCTGCTATCACCTCTACCACCACCCTTGCCTAAATTCCCAACAAACCCCCCTCCCCCCACCACCACCACCCACCGCCCACCTCACCACCACCACACTGCACTCCAGCACCATTACTGCTACCACCATCACTGCACTTCCAGCACCATAACTACCACCACCACTACCCGTGACCACCTACTACCACCACCACTACTACCACCCACTACTACCACTACTCACCACCACTACTACCACCACCACTAATACACCACCACTATACCACCACCACCATAACACCACCACACTACTACCACCACTAATACCACCACCACCACTACTACCACCACTAATACCACACCACCACTACCACCACTACTTCCACTACCACCACCACCACCACTGCCAACACCACCACTGCCAAACAACAACACCACCACACCACCACCGCCGCCGCTGCTACACACACTATACGCCCTAGTGACCACTCAACACACACTCTATTTTACTCATTAAATGTTTCCACTCAGTGTACAAATGACACGTTCACCTCTCCCCCTCCCTCCCCTCCTTCCTCCCTCCCCCCTCCCTCTCTCTTACTATCTATTTCCCTCCTCCATCCCTTTCACTCCCCTACACTATTCCCCTCTTGCAAATGGCTATTCTTTTTTTGTCACTGTGTATAGAGAGAGAGAGACCAAGATCCTTTCTCTTAATATCATCATGGAATATATATATATATATTATATATATATATATATATATTATATATATATATATATATATATATATATATTATATATATATATATATATATTTATATAATGTGTGTGTGTAACGAGTTCAGGACTAAAGTGTTCATCTGCAGTATAACTAAACTGTTCTTTTCTTTACAGAACATTTTCACATCTTCGTGGGAGACCTGAGCCCAGAGATAGAGACTCACACGCTGAGAGAAGCCTTTGCACCCTTTGGAGAAATCTCGTGAGTACCTCTAAGCTTTGTGTTTCTGTTGCATGGTGAGTGTAGCTGTCTTCTGTGACACACCCTTCATTGTACAGGATGTGAGGTGTTATCCTACCTCAGCCTGTTATCCTTCTTCACCTCATCGTACACAGTAAGAAGTTGAAGAATTGAGACACTTATGCAACACATGGGAATCTTTATTGAAGAAACGTTTCGCCACACAGTGACTTCATCAGTCCAATACAAAGTAGAAATGGGTAAGAAGCGTAGAAGTTTGAGGTAATCAGTCCCTCAACCTGGAATCGATGTGTTCAGACCATCACTCTTGTAGGAAGTGCAGCATAGGGCCAGAGAGGTGGCTTATATACTGCGGTGAGATGAGTTGAAGCAGGAGGCGGCGGGATCACAGTGGGACCTGCCACTAGTGTAAGTAGGTCGTCGTCCAAAGGTTGGACAAGAGTTAAAGTCTTTGTACCAAGATCCCATGATGTTGCAGTGTCTGACAGATGTGAAGAATGGTTTTGAAAACCGACAAGTTGAAGAATTGAGACACTTGTCGGTTTTCAAAACCATTCATCACACAGTAAGAAGTGTTATCCTACTTTAAGCTCTTATTCTACAGCAACTTCTTATAAATGAAAGTATTCTACCTCTCTTTACCCTCCCCTTCCCTTCTCCACTCCCCAGTCCCCCAGGATGTGACCCACAGCAATTGACTAACACCCAGCTACCTATTTTACTGCTAGGTGACCAGAGACAACAGTGTAAGGACACTTGTCCACTCGTGTCGAGTGTGTTTACCGAAGGTGTGTGTCTGTGTCATGTGTGATGGAGGGCGAGGCGGTCAAGACAAAACCCAGGGTGTTGAACAACCTCTTAGTGTGACAACGTTTCGCCCTTTAGATCTAGCTTGGTGATAAAGCTCTACACAGAGAGAAACGCTGCGTACTACCGTCGGTAGTACGCAATTTAAATGCTTCTGTGGTCGAGGTGCAGCTTCTGGACCTTTTCTTGCAAACACTGATGGTCAGGGAGCAGCTCCTGGACTACGTTTCTCTAACTAGAATCCAGTAGTGTACTGGAATTCTGTTTTGACATCCACCTATTAGTGGTTCTAGGGGTCGAGTCTCAGCTCCTGGCCCCACTGATAGCATATATGGAAAACAGACAGAGGAGGATGACAAAGTTGAACCCATGTATCAGAAATCTTCCCTGTGAGGATAGACTAAGGGCCTGAATCTGCACTCTCTAGAAAGGCGTAGAATTGGGGGGGATATGATTGAGATGTATAAATGGGAAACAGGAATAAATAAAGGGGATGTAAATAGCGTGCTGAAAATATCCAGCCATGACAGGACTCGCAGCAATGGTTTCAAGTTGGAAAAATTCAGATTCAGGAAGGATATAGGAAAGCACTGGTTTGGTAATAGAGTTGTGGATGAGTGGAACAAACTCCCAAGTACCGTCATAGAAGCTAAGGCCTTGTGTAGTTTTAAAAATAGGTTGCATAAATACATGAGAGGGTGTGGGTGGGTGTGAGTTGGACCTGACTAACTTGTGCTACCAGGTCTGGTGCCGTGCTCTTTCCTTAAGTGGAAGTGACCTGACTAGATGGTCATTATTCTAGGCCGGGGGTGGCATGGACCTGCTTCGCATGGGACAGTAGGCCTGTTGCAGTGTTCCTTCTTTCTTATGTTCTTATATTGTCGAACACTGCATATTGTGCTGTTAGCGTGTGTACTCATTGTGGTTACAGGGGTCGAGTCATAGCTCCTGGCCCCTCTTCTTCACTGGTGTGTGTTTCGCACGACCACTGGACCCACATCTCATGTAATCATAGACAGTGAGAGATACTCATGCTTACACACACACACACACACACACACACACACACACACACACACACACACACGAATGTGCACACAATCCTCGTCTCCTTTGCCATCTTCCTCCCCTCTCTTCCCTCCTTTTCCTTATCTCTCCCTCCCTCCCTCCCTCCCTCCCTCCCTGTAGGGGGACGACACAGAATGCAAACGACTGGACGGAGTTCGTATAGTTGTAACTTTAGTCACATTAAAAAAGTTGGCCTTGTTGTGATGTGTTGGTGAGACATGCGTCTCTCTCTCCCTCCCTTGCTCTCTCCCTTGCTCTCTCCCTCGCTCTCCCTCTGCTCTCTCCCTTGCTCCCTCCCTCGCTCTCTCCCTTGCTTCTCCCTTGCTCTCTCCCTTGCTCCCTTTCCCTTGCTCTCTCCCTCGCTCCCTCCCTCGCTCCCTCCCTCGCTCCCTCCCTCGCTCCCTCCCTTGCTCTCTCCCTCCCTTGCTCTCTCCCTGCTCCTCCTCTCCTCCCTTGCTCTCCTCCCTTGCTCTCTCCCTCGCCCCCCTCCTTGCTCTCTCCCTGCTCTCTCCCTCGCTCCCTCCTTGCTCTCTCCTCGCTCCCTCCCTTGCTCTCTCCCTCGCTCCCTCCCTCGCTCCCTCCCTCGCTCTCCCTCTCCCTCCTTGCTCTCTCCCTCGCTCCCTCCCTTGCTCCTCCTCCCTTGCTCTCTCCCTCCCCCTCCCTTGCTCTTCTCCTCCCTCCCTTGCTCTCTCCCTGTCCCTCTTGCTCTCTCCCTCCCTGCTCCTCTCCCTCCCTTGCTCTCTCCCTCGCTCCCTCCCTTGCTCTCTCCCTCGCTCCCTCCCTTGCTCTCTCCCTCGCTCCCTCCCTCGCTCCCTCCCTTGCTCTCTCCCTCGCTCCCTCTCCGGTATTCTCCCTTCTTATAGATACCGAGCTAGTATATATTTCTATGTCTAGCCTGTCGACAATATACGACTCTCTCCATCTTTCTCTTCCCTCCCTCCCTCATTCTCTCTCTCTCTCTCTCTCTCTCTCTCTCTCTCTCTCTCTTTGGGGCATACAGTGAGTATAACTCTAGTATTAAGCTCCTAGCATACTAGTCAGATATACAACAAAGGTATTCAATTTAAACATACGTCTCCAGCATACAACTCTATTCACGCGAACATAGGAACATAAACACCGTCATAATTTTGAAATCAAACTCTCTCTCTAAACTGCTTTCTCAATGGGAAACTCAAAAAAAATTCTTCTAGAAAATTTTCCTCATTTCTCCACTCAAAATTCAAGAGTGATTTGAGAGAGCAAGAGTAATTTGAAATTGAGATAGTCTGTGTGTGTGCCTAGTAGCGTCATTGAAGCTAAAACCTTGGGTTGCTTCAAATTTAGGTTAGATGAACACATGAGTGAGAAGGGCTGGATCTGAGTGAGACTTGCACATGAGTTATTAGTATCATTAAGCCTTATTCCATGGGTAGCTTTGTGGTATGTTTGGGGTTGAGAAGGACCTGCCTAGTATGGGCCTGTAGGCCTTCTGCAGTGTTCCTCCTTTCTTATGCTCTTATGTCTGTCTATCTCTGTCTGTCTCTCTCTCTGTCTCTCGCTTGAATCAGCGTGAGTCTCCACAGATATGATGTGTCTCCGTCTCTTGTCACGGTCACAGACCCCAGGAGTTTGACCGTGACGCCGGGGGGTGGGAGGGGGCGTTGCTCCCTCCCCCTCCTTGAAAACATCTTTCAAACGTGATTTACAGTGAGAAAAACAGGTCATTTTCCCCTTCATGATCGTCATGTCCAAAGTGACGTGAGCATGTCACTGTCAGTAGATCACGTCACCCGTCACAAGTCGTCCATGAGGTGACGTCTCCGAACCTGTCATGCCTGTTCCATATGTCGTATCTTAGATGATATGTCTGTATGTGAGTCATTGTGTATCCACGTGTCTGTACGTGTGTCTGTGTGTCCATGTGTCTGTACGTGTGTGTTCACGTGTCTGTACATGTGTCCACGTGCCTGTATATGTGTGTCTGTGTGTCCATGTGTCTGTATGTATGTGTGTTAAGATATTAGAAAGTGTAGATGTGAAACTTGTAATAAAGATGGAGATAGGAATAGAAGGAGAGCGGAGGGGAGGAAAGGAAGGGAATAAGGAGGGGAAGGGGGTGGAGGGATGGAATGAGAGGGAAGGGAGAGGGAGGGAATGAGAAGGAAGGGAGACAGGAATATGTCCTGACATTTAAGTATTCCCTCAGTGAGGAGGGCGCTGGGGTGGATGATGGAGGGGGAGGGAGGTAAGGATGGGGGGAGGGGAGGAAGGTGTGAGGGGAGGGTGTAAAGGAGTGTCTGCTTATTAAGGTGAGCATAAAGGAGGGATGTTAGGGTGTAAGGGAGAGTATGAAGGAAGGTGTCAGTGTAAGGGAGGGTATGAAGGAGGGTGTCAGTGTTAGGGAGGGTATGAAGGAGGGTGTCAGTGTAAGGGAGGGTATGAAGGAGGGTGCCAGTGTAAGGGAGGGTATGAAGGAGGGTGCCAGTGTAAGGGAGAACATACAAGAGAGTGAAGCACACTTACTGCGTCGGGACCAGGAACTACAGCCCAACACACTGAGGAGCGTTCACTCATGCAAATAAATGAGGGATTTCAAGGTGTTTCTGGTATGTTATAGCTGAATCCTTTCTAAGACTTTCACACACATGACTTTCTAAAAACCTTCAAATTCTCTTGACTTTCGTTGTAACTCAGTGTTTTATGATTTTTTTGTGAATCCAAACAGACGATATTCCTACCTACGAGTGAGCGGCACCCATCCACCTACTGCCATGTCCTGATCAACACTGCTTCACATGCCAACTCCTCACTCTCCTGGGCAGGGTGAGAGAGCTCTCTGATTGGTTACTTGAGGATGACAGAGAGTTCCCCTATTGGCTAATGTCAACAGTATCAGGTGCCCTGGAAAGGCTCAACTCAAATGCGCAGAGCTTCCTAAAGCTTGTGGACCAGGAATTACAGCTCAACATACTCCAGGAGCTTTCTAAAGCTTGTGGACCAGGAACTACAGCTCAGTATACGCCAGGAAGCTTCTTAACGCTTGTGGACCAGTAACTACAGCTCAACATATTCCAGGGAGCTTTCAAAGCTTTTGGACCAGGAACTACAGCTCAACATACTCAAGGGAGCTTCTTAAAGCGTGGGCCAGAACTACAGTTCGACACAGCATAAAACACTTCCATTCCGTCTACGTTAGCATTTTGTGTATTACAAAAATCCGTCTGTGTTTGCATTTTGTAAAATTCCGTCTGTTAGCATTTCTTTTTTTTTTTTTTTTTTGCAGAATTAAGCAATAAATATAGTTGGTGGGTAGTCGTGTGTGTGTGCGTGCTCGCGCGCGTGTGTGTATGTGTGTATGTGTGTGTGTGTGTGTGTGTGTGTGTGTGTGTGTGTGTGATGTGTGTGTGTGTACATAAAGATAAGTCTTGGCAGGGAACCTACAGAAAACAAAATCTCTAAGAATTATGAAAAAAACTTTGTGGTTGGCACCACTGCAGGCTTGCGTGAGGTTGGTAGCATGGCAGTCCTGCGTGTGCCACGCCCCCTCCCCCAGGGCTGCCAACACGCCTCGGCAAATACGTAGCTGGATGTGACGCAAAAAGAGTTAAAAGGTTTGCCAGTAAAGTATTGAAGGCAGTAAAGTGTGTAAACGTTTGTAAATCAGTTTTAAAAGGAAAGTTTAAAAAAATAAGTTAGCAGGGGTGCCAACGTCATGCGACTTAGCAGGGGTGCCAACGTCATGCGACTCAGCAGGGATATCAACCATATTCACCTAACTAGAGATATCAAGCCTACACTTCTATTTACAGTGCCTACCATTGAAATCAAACCAGAAGTGCCAACTATACATACTTTCCCAGACGTACCAACATATACACTTTCCCAGACGTACCAACCATATAAACTTTCCCAGACGCACCAACATATACACTTTCCCAGACGTACCAGCCACACTTACCCCAGATGTACCAACTATACACAATTTTCATACACAATTTACTTATTAAAATTTAAACAAAAACGAGATCATACTACCAGGAGAAAATCACGTAAATAAAAGCAAGGTCAGGGGTAAGTGAGTCCCGAGGCAAACACAGCTGGTAACATCTGCGTCCCAGGCGAGTAAGAAAGGTGGTGCAGACAGCAGCGGTGTCTGCACCACCTGTATCACCTATGAGTGTCGCAGATGGTGCAACAACTTGCAGTAATAAGTGGATGGATGCTGCAAGTCTTCCACTGAGACTACTTCGCCCGTTGAAACAGAAGTTGTGCTCCTCACCAGTGAGAGAACACGTCAACAAATAGGGTGTAGACTCGGCCCTGAGTACAGACTCAGACCTGATTACATACAATTTCTCAATATCCTTTCTAAATCTTAATTTCTCTAACTTCAGTCCATTGTTGCAAGTCCTGTCTTGATTAATATTTTCAGCACTTTGTTTATATCACCTTTATTCCTGTTTTCCATCTGTACACTTCAAGTAGATCTTCCTCAGTTTTATGACTTAACAGAGAATGCAAATTCAATCCTAAATTTAGCCCATTTTCGGTGGAAAGGTTTCTAATACAAAGAATCGCCTTCGTCATCCTTCCTCCTTTATTTTCGAGGGCATTTATATATGTACATGTGTAATATGGAGACCAGACCTCAGCACCATAATCTAAATGAGGTCTACCCAAATGTATATAAAGTTGAAGTATAATCTTAGGATTTCTATTATTATTTATAATTATTGATATGAACCCACGAATTCTGTTAGCTTTACTGCGAACACTTTTGCACTGTTGTGTCTGCTGCCCAGAACTCTTAGATGTTTATCGCATTCACTTTAACTAATTCTATATTGTTTAGCTTACAAGGGACAAAGTTATTTTTTTTTCCTAGGATTAAAATCGTACACTTGTCTGCATCAGCCACTTCTTCAACCACATGATCAACTTATCGTGGTTATTCTCGAGCTTTCTAGTGTCCTTATCAAGAATTGTATGACGCCCTATTTTTATGTCATTGGCAAAGTTACTTATGTCGCTATTTATTCCCTCATCAATGTCATTTATGTAGATTGTGAACAGCAGGTGTCCCAACACTGACCTCTGTGGCACACCACTCGTAACGGGTCGCCATTCCGATTACTCCCTATTAATGCGCACACTGTTACTTGTCGGGTAGCCATGAATAGACCCAGATAATCTCTTCCTGTTCCACGTGCCGTGACTCTATCAAAAAACTTACTGAAGCTCATAAACACAGTATCGTATTCTTTATCTTGGTCCACCGCCTCGACTACCTTAGTGAAAAAGGTTAGACTGGCAGAGGTGAGGAATAGAAGGTAGAGATGTAACAAGACACACTGGACGGTAGAGTAACTAGAAGTATCAGAGGTGGCTACCACGGGAATAAAATATCGCAAGTACGAAACACACATTAGGTAGCCCGGGGTCTAGATAGGCTGGGTCTAGGTAGCCCGTCATGACTCAAAGGTCAAACAACCTGTGAAACCATTCTGAATAAGAGAACGATGCAACAATTACCGTCAATACAGGTGGACTAGCACCATCATAGCCAGAAGACCTTAAAAGACATGGGTGAGAGAACTACACAGGTTTATGCTACTCTGATAAACCAAAGGCGCCACAAACTAATGGTTACAACAAAACTATCGCAGAGAATGCCACTTAGTCAAAGGCCGAGCAGTTAGTCACGTGACCGAGCACTCGAGTAACCCAAGTTGGGTGACTACCAGTAGTAGTACCTTTATTTCTACAAGTACATCTACAAACCAGCGGCCGCCAGCAGCGATAGCCTGGAAATAAATGGTATAAAATACCGACACAATGGAAATATAAACACAAATGCAGTATAATGTGATCCTTTATTGACAACGTTCACCCACACAGTGGGCTTTTTCAAGTCACACGTGTGTGACCTTGAAAAAGCCCACTGTGTGGGTGAAACGTTGTCAATAAAGGATCACATTATACTGCATTTGTGTTTATATTTCCAGCGATAGCCTGGTTAACCAAGCAGACACCAGACAAGCCTGGCTCAGGGCTGGGCTGCGGGTGCAGGGAAATCTCTCGAAACATAGCAAAGGTATATCAAAGTTATATCAAAGGTATATTCCTTCTCTCCCCATCTCACATTCCCCTCTGTTCTGTCATACTTTAGCTGCAAAACTAAACGGCTGCGTTTAATATGCTTAATGCTGCGTCTGACGTATTCCATCCTGCGTCTGATATGTGTCTTGTGCGAAACTGCTCTTGCTAAGTTCCCTGTAACAGTTCAAGTGTTCCTCGAGCTAACAGTGATGCACAAGTGATTGGTGTCTGTACTAATAGCATGATGGGTGAGAATATATAG